TATCACCAACAGTTATTGAAGACAGTGTTTTGCAAACTAGCTCTGAATAGCATGTAGAAAATCTAACATTCTTTGCTAATATCCTGCTTTACAGGAACAATGTTTCTATATCTCGATTTAAGATTGTCCAGAAGCACACAAATTGGTTGTTCTTATGTGTCATCAACTCATTTCTGATTTATGGCAACCCCATTAATGAAATCCATCCAAAATGTCCTTCTCTTAAAGCCCCACTCAGCTCTTCTAAATTCAAGGCTGTGGCTTCTTCTATGGATTCAGTCCATCATGTATGGTCTTCCTTTTCTTCTGACTTCAGCTTTTCCTAGCATGATTGTCTTCTCCAGTGAGTCTTACCTTCTTATGATGTGTCTGAAGTATGACAGCCTTTGCTTTGTCATTTTTGCTTCTAGAGAAAGCTCCAGCTTGAGACACACAAATTAGCAAATTCTCTGAGAGTAGGGAAGATCCATGCAATATCGGAATCCTCAAGACAAAAAAAAAAAATATTTGAGCAAACAGAGATAGAATGGGGTTAAGAAATCTGGGGCAGGAAGTCTCCAACCACGCAGGCTAGTTAAACAAACAATCCCTTTCATAAATAGTTGGACTGGACTGGAGCAATGTTTGGAGTTGGCAGTGTATAAACAGAAGATCTTATTGCCGAGCCAAGAACCTACAAAGAGTCCTTGGGTCAAGTCAAGCTCAATCTTGCTTACAGCAATCCAAAAATTCTTCAGAGACATCCTTTATTGGTCCAAACAGTAGCTTAAAGATGTGCAAAGTTTTGATCTTAACTGCTGAGGGACCAGAGGTCAGCACCACAACTCCCCAGAGGAAAACTGTAGATGCTCTGACAGTTCTGGCAGACTGAGTCTAAACTGTTTCTGGGACCACAGGCTCTGCCAGCTTTGTATTACACACAGATCACTATCAAGGAGACATTAAGGAGCAAGAATTCCTAAGCAGAGCCTGCTCAATCATTCTTGGGACTCTCATAACAGAGAAGCAGTAATAGTTTAAGAAAGATGACTGGTTGGTTAAGTCCTGGCTAAAGTGGGACAGAGACACCACTTTAAGAAGAAAGGACATGCCTGGTCCAAGGACCACTTATTCTTGTGTAGGAATAAGAATGGTGCTTCATGCTGAATCACACACAACTCAGTAGCTTGTTCTCAGATAGATATGAAGGCCAGCAGAAATGCAATGTGCCAGTACAGAAGCTGAAGAGAGAGCATGTTGCAAGAGGTCAGAAGGGATTTGTGATAAAATGAGGCACAGAAGTCCTGAACAGATATGTGGGATGACCAGAGCATGCCTACATCCTAGAAGGGACCTGCTGTCAAGAGCAGCCTGGACTACTTCACTATTGCATCCTGCTTCTTCACCTGCATCTCATTCTGGCCCAACAATAACATTACATTTGTATACCGCCAGTAGCCTAAGCTCTTTGGGCAGCTCACAACATTTAAGTCACCCATCTAGATTTCAGCCAGGCCCAACCCTGCTTTCAGCTTCCAAAACTGCGCAGAATCAGGTACTTCAAGCTATAGGAAAGCAGATGGTAGTGGTGGTCGTAAGTGGGAAATAAGCTGGGGAAGCAGTTGGATTGTTAGATGACAAAGACATTAAATACTAGAGGAGGATACAAAGATTAGAACAAACTCTTTTCATCCATCTTTACAGCAGAGGATTCAGGACAGATACCTCTGTTTTCTGGAAGGGAGTCTGAGGAACTGAGGTAAATCATGCTGTTACAAATTACTTTTTCAACCTTATTGACAATCTGAATGTTAACAAATTACCAGGCCCAGATGGTATCCATCCTAGAATTTTAAAAGAACTTAAATACTGAATTGCTGAATTTGTCATGGCCCAGGAGTCTAATGGTGAAATAGGGGGAGGCAAAGGAGAGCACAGCCATGGATGCGAAAGGCAGTGGTTAGAGGGATTAGATGCAAGAGGAACCTCCATAGGAAATGGGTATTGGGGCAAATAGACAAAACTGGAAAACCGGGAGGAGGAGGCCCGTTACAGAAGGATTCTTTGCAAGGCTACGGCTGATCGTGAGCTGAGACTTGCAAAGAATATCAAGAGCAACAAAAAGGGCTTCTATCAGCATGTAAATAGGAAGAGGAAGGGGAGACAAGTAGCGGGACCACTAAATAAGGAGATCCAGTGAATGATACGAGACAACGGGCACAGATGCTAAATGACTATTTTGCCTCTTTGTTCTCCCCAAAGCAGGACGGGGGAGATCCGCATGGGAGATTAGATGAGGCTAGGGACTTAGGGGCACAGATTAGAGTCACTCCCTAGAAGTCGAGGGGCTCCTCAGGGCATTGGACATTACAAAGGCACCAGGCCCTGATGAGTTACACCTGAGAGTACTACAAGAGTTGGCAGTTGAGGCCTCGTGGAGAACGAGTGAAGTTCCAGAGGACTGAAGGGTGGCATCAGTGGTCCCAATTTTCAAAAAGGATAGTAGAAGGGACATGGGGAATTACAGACCATTTAGACTTGTGTCCATTGTAGGAAAAACAATGGAAAGGCTCATAATAGAGAGAGATCTAGTGATGCTAGATAGGGAAGGGAGGCTGACAGCTGTACAACACGTCTTCCACAGAAACAGGTCCTGCCAGACAAACCTTGTGGAATTCTATGACAGGGTTTCGAGATGGCTAGATGGAGGGGATGCAGTGGATGTGGTTTACCTGGATTTCAGCAAGGCCTTTGACAAAGTGCCCCATGATATCCTGGTGGAGAAACTGAGGAGTTTTGGGATACACCAAAGCACTGTCCAGTGGATTAGGGCATGGTCGAGTTACCAAAAGCAGAGGGCAACCATTAATGGGGAATCATTGGGATGGTGGCCAGTGACAAGCGGGGTCCTCCAGGGCTCTGTCCTAGGGCCGATCCTGTTTAATCTTTTCATTAACGACATGGAAGAAGGGGTGAACAGTCTGCTGATCAAATTCGCAGACGACACTAAAACTGGAGCAGTGGCCACAACTGAGGAGCAGGTACTCCAGATCCAAAAGGATCTGGACAGACTATGGAAGTGGGCAGGAGACAACAGGATGGTGTTCAATGTGGATAAGTGCAAGGTATTGCACTGGGTGTCATAAGTACGGGTTAGGGGACAAGTGGCTGGAGAGCAGCACTTGTGAAAGGGACCTCGGGATACTGGTTGACTGCAGGCTAAACATGAGTTGGCAGAGTGATGTGGTAGTCAAGAGGGTGACCAACCACCCTCGGTTGCATAGCCAGAAGGGTGGCTTCTAGATCAAGAGAGGTATTACTACCACTCTACATGACTCTGGTGTGCCCACAACTGGAGTGCTGTGTTCAGTTTTGGGCCACTCGTTACAGGAAGAATATAGCCACATTAGAGTCAGTGCAGCATAGGGCCACAAGGTTGGTGGCTGGTTTGCAGGGGATGCTGTATGAGGCGAGACTGTGGGAACTGGATCTCTTCAGCCTGGAGGAGACTCAGACGGGATCTGTTGGTGACACACAGGTATGTGAGGGGGTGTCACATGGAGGTGGGTAGAGACCTGTTCTCCCCTGCAGAGGAAGGCAGGAAGTGCTCCAACAGAGCAAAGCTCAGGGAACCAAGGTTCCATTTAGATGTCAGGAAGCACTTCCTGTTAGGACCCCGAGGGTGTGGAATGGGCTTCCACGGGAGGTGGTTGAGGCCCCTTCAGTGAAGTTGTTCAAAGATAGGCTAGACATGCACATGGTGGGCATGTTATGAGTGAAGCCGGCTGGAACCGGGGGCCAGACTAGATGGAGAGGCCCCTTCTGACTCACTCTGTTTTTATGTTTCTGACTCTGAGGCTTAAGAACAAGTCGTGCCAACAGAAGTAATTCCAGGTCTGAGCCCAACTGCAAAGGTACTTGCAAGCTTAGCTCTAGCACCCACTTCTACAACAGACCCACATACCAAGGAGCTGATGCTCCGATGTCATCAATGTACCCGGCATGAATTCTTGGAGAGATGCAAGAATGCTAGGCTGCAAGCCAAAGGCCTATTCATTCATGGCTTCCATTCTGTAGGAAAGGGAGGAATCTGGGACTCTAGTACAAAAGGTTGCAGTTTGATCTCAGATCAAACAGTATTGTTGGTCCAAAGCAAGGTGCACAGTTGTGTTGTTGCTGCTGCTGCAACATATCTTGTTTTTACCTCCAAGGTGTAGATGATCCTTTTCTTCTCCATTTTATCCATGCTTCCACTGTGTGATAGGTTAGGTTGAGAATCAGTAACTGGTTCTGGCTCACCAAGGGAGCTTCATGACTAAGCTCAATCCAGTGAACAGAAACGGGTCTCCCCAATCCAGTGCTCTAATCACTATACCACACTGGCTCACAGTAAGCAGTAGCAACGAAGTTACATATATTTTAAATAATCATTAATCTCAGAGTTTCCTGCATGTAAGGAGAAGAGCACCACGATAACTAGGGACATCAACACCAGAGACAATGACAGCTAGAACTACTGGTAGGATGTACAGGCATTCATGAGTAAATGTGTTTTAAGTTGCTTTAAATTCTTAAAACTTGAAACTTAAATATTAAGTTTCAAGCTGTGACCAGACTATCGGCTATTGAATGTTAAAGAAATGTAGTAAGTGAACTTGATTCATTAGGGCCTCCAATGATCTCAGAAGTTGTAACTCAAGTATCTTGTGCTGATGAAATTTTGTAGCATTTTAGCTTTATACAGCAACATTAGTAAAACAAATATTGCAAATGCCAGCTGCTTGAGTTGAAAAGACATGATGACTCATGCTTGCCATGAAGCAATTCCATTTTTGTCAAGACTTGGGAAAAATATTAATTTTACAGTTGCTTTACCTCATTTTTGTATAAAGAATTATGCTTCGTACAAAGAATGATGTACGAGAAAATGAGATGGTAGTGTTCCCTCATTTAGAAACTAGTGTTCCCCTTGGGAATTGTCCAATCTTAGTAACAACAAAGCAGAGTGTAATAAGACACTGTTTTATTTGTCAAATTTTATTAGAAAAAAACTTGAAAGTTATATTTCCACCTCACAATATTTTAAACAAGGCCTTATGGTTTGCATTAAAGCTTCAATATTCCTTTCTGAAAATTGTCTACATGATACACACCTGTATAGAGCATTGCAGATCACATGGCAGTCACTAACAGGTTTGTTAGTTATAGCAGCTATATTGTGAATGATCCACACAAGTTTTAGCTTAGTCTGTACATAAAGTGCTCTTTTAGGTAGAAATGGGCTCTTTCTGGAAGGAGGGAGGGAAGGAGGGAGGGAGGGAGGGACGAATAACAAACAAAAACCTCTTCTAGATAGTAGAGATATTTCCATTTTGGTAAAAAGCTAGAACCTCTGTATTGTCAGATGGACAGACTTTTCCATGGTCCCTTAAACTGAAGAGCAAGCACCCTTTTTTTACTTACTATCTCCTAAGCATCCTACTAACTCCCAGCATTAACCACATTTTTAATTTAAATAGCAAGAGTGTATGAAGACAGCCTAAAATTCCAAATTCACTTGTTGATTAAATTATGCTTTAGGATTTTAAAAAGCAGAATTATCAATTCAATGTACAATAAATAAGTTATGGCTTAGTATCTCATAAATAAACACAAGCTAAAATTAATGCTTTGGGATATACTTTGTGATCAAGAATAACTAGTTGTTGAATCTTGAAAAACCTACTGCATGTTCAATAGTTTTGAAACAGTATTCACTAAAACATACTACACATTTATTTCCACCAAAAAAAAAAAAAGTACTCAGATGTACAATGTTTCACAAACTCCTCTCTCAGAGCAATATGGCTCACATACTAAATTGACTACATGGAGCTTTACAGAATTTTTATATGGATTGCTCTTTAGATAACAGATTTTGACACCTTAAGGCAAAAGTGTCTCAAATGTAATTATCAGTGCAGTTATTCTAAGTGCACTAAAAACCTTTATGAAGTTTAAAAAATGTACCAACAAACATTTTTCTTTAATTAAAAAAAGACCCTGTACATACAGTAATTTGTGCTGCATGTCTGCCCAGAAAACCATTATATAAGGAGAGAGTTTTCAAAACCAAGTTCTGATGTTTCAAGAGAAATTGCACTTATTTAAATATATTAAATACAGTATATAGGAGATAACCTAAAATACTGAAAAACGCATAAGAACCTGGCTGTTAATTACCAATACTGCTACAGCATTTTAAAATGTATACAAGTCACAATAAAACTGTCTTACTGTGACCCATTATGCATCTCCCAAACACTGCCAGTGTTCTATGGTAATGTGAAACATTGCTCACATGGAAAGAGAGTTGCTAAGACACCTCACCAGTCAATGAAGTCAAAATACTGGAGTGAGCATACATAATATATAAGTGACATGAAATTCACAATTGTGCAGGGCCTATTTGTATTCTTAAAAATGGAATGTGAATGCTAGAAGTGTTAAGTAAAATGGAACTAATCTGAGTATCCATGGTCACTGCATGACAAAAGACAGTCCAAGGGGTGACTTCATGAAGATCTTCCAGGCACTCGACAGCTGGTAGTATTGGACATCTTTCTCTGCAATTCTAAAACCAAAAAATAACCAGGCTCAGAGGCAGAGGTGCAGCAGAAGCACTTATGAAATATGATGTAATTAAGACACAACGCTAAAGATGGAACTTCGGGCATTACATGTCTTCATCTTGGTAATGTAAGTATTTTGCTGTAATTGTTTCTTCCAGGTGAATCCCTGAGCTCCCCATCAATGCAAAGGCTGGATACATTTTACCAGAACAGTCCACCTGACGCTCATAAAGACACTTCATCCGGTCTGCATCATAGAATCCAACTTTGCCTTTGTCATAGTCAAGGCAGATTCCAATGCATGATGGCATGGGAAGAATTCTATTTCCAGAATCTTTAGGAGCAGCTGAAGCAGGGGATGCTTTAGGAATAAAAAACTTTTTCATTCCTAAAGTTACCAGTGTAAAAGGCTGCAAGGACTCAACAAAGGTATCTTCACTCCCACTGTCATGACCACTGTCTTGCTCATATCTAGAAGAAAAACACATACATTTATAAATGCTAGAATGGCACCTAAGTTCTTCACTGTATCTTTCACAGCACAGCACATTTGACATTTACACAACAAGAACTTGACCCTTAAAAGCTTGTGTGCATAAGGCTAGATCCTCTGTTATGCAGTCCCACCCTTAGCTAGAAAAAAAAGAGTATGATTTCATCTCTGCTCCATGTTATATTCAAGCATCAAAACCATACAGTTTGATCTGTTACATTCATCTCAAAGGATATCACATTAATGTCAGAGTATCCAAATGATCAGTACTATCACAGGCCAAGAATCAAGACAAAAGTATAGAATAAAAAGTGTAGCAGATGGTGGATCTTCAAATGTTTTGGACTTCAACTCTCAGAAGCCCCTGTCAGCATGTCAATGGTAAATACTGGTAACTGAAGTCCAAATCTGCATGCTTCCACAAACTAGGAAGTGATACAAAATGTATTAAATTAACATTGCCTTGTTCATCAAGGCCACCAGGAAATGCACAGATGCTTCAGCAAGCCACTTGAACTGATTCATACTATGTGTTCTTACTCCACTAGCCTAAGATGGAAGGAATATCCTTTCTTTTATAGATGACTTTTTGAGGTACTGTGTGACCTTCCTACTAATACTGAAGTCCCAATGTGTACACATGCTGGAAGAATATGCAAAAATAACCAATAAGTTTAACAAGTATCCTTAAACTAGCTAAAGTAACAGTGGTACTGCATCACACACAAGCATATTTGAGAGACCATGGACTCATAATTGCACACACCTCAGAACAAAATAGTGCTGCAGAAAGAAAGCATCACTGAAAGACATGGTGATGTATATGCTGCTAGACTTTCAAACAGATTCTGGGAGAAACTGTAATGACAGTCATGCACTTGCAAAATGAGCTACCAACCATGACCATGGGCGAGACTCCCTATGAGTTATGAGATTAGTAGAAGTCAAGCATAGAACATCTGAGGTGTTGGAATCTGGGTCTGTATGCATATCCCAAATGAAAGGAGAGTCAAACTGGATTCTAGAGCTGAAGAAGGCATATTAGCCACCATGCTCTAGGAATCAAGAGACACAGGCTCCTAAATCCAAAATCAGAAAAGATGACAATATACAGAGTGGTATAGAAATGAATAGAGCTGTGCTGGTGATAACAGCAAAGGGACTGGTAATAAAACCAAAAGCATACAGTTAAAGGAGTATTGCCTGACACCCAGAGATGCAGCTATCACCCAAACACACAACAGTGAGGAAGTGTAAGTGGAAGCTCCCAGAGGGCTGGCAGATGGAACAGAAGAGCAAAGATTGTTGTAGAAGGAAACGATACCACTTACCTACGTCAGACACTCATTGCAGTCCAATAAAGAACCACCATCATGGAAAGAAGTGTCCACAGCAGAAGCAAACGAATAGAAAAGGGCCGTACAAAAAAGATTTAGAGGCACTATGCAAAAGCAAAAATGGACTTACAGAACTGCCAATCAGCAAAAAGACCATAGTTTACAAGAGGACTTTTTAAGCCAAGCAAGATGCAGGAAGAGAAATACAGTGATACAAAACCCAGGTTTGATGCCAAAGGCTTCTCTCAAAAGTATACCAAAGACTACAAGCGTTTTTACTCCAGTTATCATTCTGGAGATCCTAGGACTAAAGGATGCTAATCCAATGCCTACACCAATGGAAACAAATTTCCATAAAGAGAGAACCTAATGAACCACTACAAGGAAAAACAAACAAACAGCCACAGAAAACTATGGATAGTCCCTTCTTTACTTAGCCACTGCAGTAAGCAAACCAGGCAAGAAAACTAGTTCTCGCAAGCAAAGAGGCTGGATTGCAGTCAAAAGGATAGCAAGATATCCAAAAGGGACAGCACACTGGCAACTGGTAGCTGTCTTAGTAGCTGGTAGCTAAGACTGGTAGTGTATTCCACGAGCTCAAAACTAGTGGAATACACAGATGAAAGTTAGGGTGAAGACATAACAGAATGCAAATCTACTAGTGGATATATATTTTTCTATGGGAGCTGAACTGTGTGTTAGGAAAGCCACTAACAGACCACAGTTGCCCACTTATCTACTGAAGGCAAAACTATTACATCTAGAAGCATTTCAAGAGATCTTATCACTTACGGTCCTTGCAGAGTGCCATTCCCTCACCAGCTCATGACTCACTGCTAGTTTCTGAGCAGAAAATGGGTCCCCTTTGTTCTGTCCCCCATAGCAGATGAAGAGTCTTAGGGAATGGTGGAAGGACTCCATCCTGGAGTCAGGGCCCTCAGAACATGTAAAAAGTGCAGGGTGAACTTTTAGATGGTGGGGACAGCAAAGAGGGCTGGGAGGATGATTTTCTAGTGGAGGTGGAACTCTGACACCACTCTTGGGGAGAAAGGCTGGGTCTGGATGGAGCACTGCCTTGTCTCTGTGGAAGGTGAAGTAGTGGTAAACTACCCAGAGGGCACACAGCTTATTTGCATGCCTAGCTGAGGTGATGGGCCTTTTGTACAGCCAGAAGCTCCAGGAAGTTGATGTGCCAAGCCAAAGTGAGCCTGATTGTCAGTTGGGTATACTGTGGGTGTTTGTGTAACCACCCACCTATTGTCATTTATTGAGTGGCATGGTGTGTGCAACTGTCCAGGTTCTCTTGATTTCTAATGGTCAGTAAACACTCTTGAAAACCCCAAACTAAGTATCATTAATCTTTTATGCACAAGATAGCCCTTTAATAAATTGCTTGCTGAATTCTACAGCTTCTCTCTAGTACTGGAGCACTGTCCTACAAGTATTGGTAGGTACCAGTACAGTGTCTAGTACTGGAGCACTGTCCTCGTATAACAGCCACTGGGAAGTTCTGTAAGTATTGAACAGAATTACTGGCAGCAGGAATACATCATCCTGAGGAACTCTGACTTACTGTGGCAAAGTGTTCCTCGGGCACATAAATAGAAGCACTTGCTGAAAATAAGAAACTCCAAAGATAGCAATACCCAGTGAAGGAGCAATTTCCCTGTAGGTGGTAACAGTGCAGGAAAGAGGGAATCCCCAATATAGACCAAAACATCTGAAGAGCCAGAAGTTGCTCATTCCTCCTGAAGGGATGTTTTCAGATGTAAACTGAATCTTTTTTTTTTTTTTAATGCATATGACTCTCATTGGAAATGTTATCGATGGAAAATGTTCTAGAAAACCCACCTTGCTGGTGAAGGGTAAAAAGGTTATGAAGAGCTTATCTGTGAATGGAAATAAACTATTATGATGAAAGAAAATAAGTCTACTTGTGCTTGCTGAAATATGTTTTGTGAGAAAACAATAAATAAAAATAGAAAATGGCTATGCAGAGGGTATTTTCAGATAGGAAAAAAGGCACATGTATAACAGAGGTTGCACATAGGCCATGATTCTAACACGGGAAAGGAGTGCATGTTGGAAGGGGCAGAATGGCCCTGAGGGGAGAATTCCTTGTATTTTTGCCTAATTAAAGACAATGTGAAAGGGAAGTATCTGATTTGGCTGTATCCAATATAACCCCTACATTCCCCAGCTGTTTCTATTACACTTGCCACTTGCACTACAGGAAGCCAGTCACCAACTTGCCCTATTTCAGAAACAAGCCTTTCAGCACACTTCTATTTGCATAAAGTTTTGTGAGCTTCCTACTATACTAGGGTGTAGGTAGCACTGGATACCGCCTACGTTTTCACCAACAACTGTACTTCCCTGGAGTACAATGCCATACTTTTGAGAATGATAAAGTTCTAAAATATATTGATTTAAAAGAAAATGTCCACCTTTTCTCCTTTCTTCCCCCCTCCTCCTCTTTCTGGCCCTTTTCTTCTTGATGAATGACTGTTCTCTCCCTGATAGAGTTACGCAAATGTAATCTTCAAAAAAAAAAAAAAAGGGAAAAATGCATTTATCAGTGATCTTAAAAATGGAGAACAAATATTATGAATAACTGTTTCACAACACATTTGGGCAGCCGGCACTAGCAAAGTACATATAAGCTGCATTGTGGTAGTGACAAAATTGAAATAATTATCCAATGGATGAGAATTAGTGTTGAAAATGAACATTTGATTGCGGTTGAGGCAATTGCTGTTGGGTCTGCTCTTCTCATCTCCATGCTTCTCTTCTAGTTACAAGAGAACAAGGAAAAAGAGACTAGCCTGAAGGGCTAGATTTGAGTTTAGCAAATAGCACTGAATGAATTGCTGTGTGTGTGTGTGTGCGCGCGCAAGTCCATTTCTCCTTATTTTAAGTAATGTCTGCTCTATAGAAAAACAAAGGGGGGAGGGGTTGAAGAGTTCTCAGGTGGTACAATGCTTATGTGTACTTACTACTTAGAGTACTTATGTGCAACAGTAATTGCCTGCAACAGTTTGCCTCATATGTCATGCACCTCTGAGCTTAATTTATGCTGCATGGAGTACCTGTTTGGGTTTGTACAACCACATGAATTAATACAATAGAAAATTACGTGTCCTTCTAAGCCCACTTGCTTCTCGGATATTTTACTTTTTAAAATCAAATACAATTTAATACATGGACTACTGGGACCAATTCTGGGTTCATTTTCCTACATAAACAGGAGTAATGAAAGTTAGTGTAACTAACGTTAACATGAATAAGACAATGCAACTTAATGTAATCACTTGCAAGCATTTCCTCTAGTAAAAAACAATCACTCTCTCAAACAGAGAACTCAGATGGTCTATACAGATGGAAAAGAAGCCACTAAATTTAGCAGTGTCTTATTTTCTAATGCAGCCTTCCACAACTTGGTGCCCTCAAGATGAGTTCAACTCTAAATCCCATTAGCCCCAGACCAGTACAGCCACTGGACATAACTATGGACGATGGAAGTTGCAATCCAATACATGTGGAAGGTGCCAGTTTGGGAATTACAGTATGTTCTCAGCTTTATGTGTACAACAGTAGCCAGCCAGTAGGGCACAATGGTAGTCCCCACTTGGCTATGAAGCACACTGGGTGATTTTAGGCCACTTACTTGTAGCTTAACCTACCCCACAGGGTTGCTGTTGTGAGGATAAAATGGAGCAGAGAAGGGCTGTGCAATCTGCCTTGTGTTCCTCTTAAGAGGAGAACAGCAGGATATAAATGAGATGGGATAATGATGATGATGCTGTTCAATTTTCTAGGTGTGGAAGTATGTTTATTTGGGGTATAGCTGCTGCTTCTCAAATTAAGATGGTGGTCAACCTATTTAAGCTCTTATAATCACAGCAACTGGGAATAAGTTCACGAGTCTCAGTGGGGGAATAATACCTGAACAGTTTTGTTAACAATACAAAATTGTTTAAGTTTCAAGCATCTTCATATTATGTGATTCACAATGGCAAATATTCAAAGAGCTATTTTAGCTATGCCAGACTTTCAGTATGCCCATAGTAATTTTCTGTTTGTTTTTTTTAACGGCAAACCTCCCTCCCCATCGAAATGCCATAACAAGCCAATTTTGAGATCCACTGTATGAAAGGACATTGGAAGCTGCTATCTAATACACACAGAGTTCCAGAGTTTCTATGCACAACTGAAGAATTAGCTGCACAGTTCTTTGGATGCAGGCCAACATCGAGAAATATTGATTGCTTCCATCACAATCCCCAATTAATATTTCAGCCAGTGCAAAGAAGCCAAGCTATATATTTGACCAAGAAGCCTTTAAAGTATTACAAAACAGTATATATGCAGAATTATACAAAAGCAACAAAAAGTGTTGCTTACCTTGGGCTGGTCAGATCACGAGAATTATGGAACCATTCTTGGATCTTAGCATGGGATGCAACTCCTGCTTTTACAAAGTATGAATAGGGCTCCACACGGAATGCCCAAAAATGCTTCCCTTTCATGATACCAGTGTCTCCAACAATGTAGTCTAAGCTAGTATAGCAGCCTGTTTGGATACGTTCAGCTCCCAAAAGTAGAGCAAATCCAGCCCTGCTTTCCACAACATTTCTCCTTGTATTCAGCACGAGACGTTCACTGTTGTAGCCACATTTGTCATCAAAAAGAAAACTAAAAACTGAAAAATAAGTAATATAGATCAATATATACCACTGAGTTTTAGCATTAATTCGTAAGATGATATCTCAGGGATAGACAGCACCTAGCTGACCACAGGGTTATTTGGGGTCCCAGCTCTGACCTCAGGAACTTGCTCCAAGCTCACAGCTGAGACTGTGAACTGAGAGTGTGTACCCTTCTGTGCAGCTAATGCAGAAAAAAAGTACAGCTGCTTTTCCAAGGTTGCAAAGGGGAGTTGAGTGGAAGAGACAAGCAACACCATGGTTGGAACAGACCATCTAAATGTTTTGTTGGATGAAAGCAGCTAGAATGTGACCTTCACTTCTGCACTCCTCTGTTCTTGCATAGGATGCCCATAATCCTGGAACTGCCCATCTGAACCTGGGAGAGCAATTTTATAATGGGTTGCTTGCAATAGCTACTGAGCCACTTGATAAGAGCAACAAAAAACCTCATGCTGCTCTTTATTAATCAATCAAGTCTACCTAAAAGAAACTTGGTAGCTTGGTTCCTATGGCACTGATCTGGGATTGACACAATCAGTAGAGACGACCTTTCAAAATGAATAAAACATAAGATACTCATTAACAGAATATATTTACAAAAGTGAATAAATGTCACTTTTCCAGTAAACAGGGTCAGATAGCTTATAGGTCCTTTGGATAAATATGCTACCTTAGATTTTCTAAGTTGTGTCTTTGCTAGGCAAATAAATCAATCAATCAATCAACAGCTTTTCTTTCAGGCCTGAGTTCCCTAAACTCAATGCTAGACAAAACAACAGATTTAGGCATTTCCCTAAATATCCTTGCAAACAGGAACAGAAGTTGTATATTAGTCTTCCTCTACCCCCAGTTCTTTCTGCATCTTCTGGTTTCTTGGATAATTCAAATGTTTTAGGGATTATTTGCTGAAGTTTCCTCTGGTCAGATATAAAACAGGAACTTACAATCTATTATATATAATTTACTTTATTCATACAATTACCATGATTGGTATTTTACATTTTAAAATATAGCTTAGATAATAATTATAAATTTACAGAGTTTTGCTTTTAACATTTTTAATAATGATAATTATATGAGCAAACCAAGTGATACATAATATAATGTGTGCTCCTAAATCACCCTTTGCCAAACTGGTGCCTCTAGAAGTTTTGGACTAGAACACTGGCCTTGTCTATGCTGTCTAAAGATCACAGGAGCTGAACTCTCAAATACATGGAGGCTACCAGGTTAAGAGAGGCTATCATAAAGTAAATAAGTGATTTTAGATCCCTAAAAAGCACTATAAAGTAAGTATTGTTCATTTTTCCACAAAGGACAGTTTTTCTCCAGAAAGAAATGGAAAAAGCGTGGTTCCTCCCCACCCCACTGGCTTCAAAATTACCCAAAATTTTACCTAGGTTTATCTAGTTCATAGGTGCCAGTTTGGTTTTGTTTAGTAAACATTTATACCACAATAAAACTATTTTTCACCTTCAAAGTTTTGATTATCTTGTATACATCAAATGGTAAGAATAGCACTTAAATCCATTTCAATTCCAAGTCATAACACAACAAAATGTGGAAAATGAAAAGGATGACTACTTCTACAAGCCAGTATATCTAAGATTATTTTTAGAATTGGTATGCCACTTTTTTATAGCAAGTATCTCAAAACAGAGGAAAACTGTAAATAGGAACCATATACATGGGTTTATTAAGGCAACTGTTACAGTTTCACACCCAAGACCTATATTTAATCTCACTGACTACACAGAGGGAGGGAAAAAGTATCATTAGTAGAAATTGATCAAAAAAAGTGTATTTTACATGTCTACATTATATAAATGTGTTTTTAGCATTTTCAATTATTTAGCATAGAGATGGGCAACCTTTTTCAGCCCCAAGAACCACAGGCATCACCAGGTAATGGGTTGGAAGCATGGGCACATGTGCATGCATATGTGCATGTGTGCACATGCATAGTTCCCCTCACATCTCAGCAAGTGTGGATGGAGAGGTTTTTAGTCTTTCCACCCTGCCCACTGAGAAAAAGGGATGGATCAGGAAGTCTTATTTGTACCATATGAAGGCATCCATCTTTACCAGTAGTGAGTTTTTAGGAGAACAGCATTCTGGTGCTCTGACTTCTGCATGTTTCTCTTTCAGACACAATTCAAAGTGCTAGCTCTATTAATCAAACTCAAAATTGTTAGAGTTAAGTATGGGATTTGCTTAGCATTTCATCAGTTTGGCTGTGAGCATTCTGGCTCATGATGCAGCAAAAAAAATTCAATAAACAAACAAACAGCCACTTGGCTCCTTCAGTTTCAGAACTGTCTTATACAGTGGACCTGGTCATGAAAATTTTTACAAACATTATTAAGATTTAGCATATGCATTAACTAATTTTCCTCTTCTCTTTACCCCATCTCCTTTCGTATTGTTATCTTTCAGACTGTGGGACAGCCCTTGAGGCTGGTCTGGAGGTGACAGCTAGAGCACAATGAAGCTACCTGGCTGTTTTCAGATGCCACTCTGTACCACCTCTGCTGAAGGTCCTGCACTGCCTAATCATCTGCTTCCAGTAATATGCTGCTACTATTCTATAAAACCCTGACCAACTTGGAGATATACCTTCTCCCTTATCTACATGCCTACACAAGGAGGTCTTCTGAAGAAACGCTCCTAGTAGAGCTACATGGGTTGCTTTGAAACCACCAGAAGAGCTTTAGTTTGGCAGCTTCCAATCTATGGAACACTTTTCCATCTGATATCAGTCAGGCACCAACCCTACTTCATTTCTGACATTTGCTGAAATATGTTATTTTCAGGTAAGTATTTCTTACCTGGTAAGTAAATTCCTGCCACTGTGTTATTGATACCTTTGTTTTTACTGCAGATGTTTAGTTTTAATTTACTGTGCACAACTTTGATATTTCCCCTCCATCAGAAGGAAGACAAGAAAGGGGAAAAGTTTAGAAAGATGAGAAAAATATAGAGGAATAGGCTGTGGAATAGATGAAGAAGAACCAAAAGGGTTTTTTTAAATTATTACTGGAAGATAGGGAAACGGTTTGGGAAAAGAAAGGAAAGTATGCGAAAAGTAGAATGAGTTTATAAAGAGAATCACAAAGGGTTGTAAAAAAGAAAAAAATGCTCAACAGCTCACAAGAAGAGAGAAAAGAATTTACCAAGGCACTGAAGGAGGCTGAAGAAGAACTGAGGGAAAGGGCAGGAACTCCTCCCTTAATAATGAATGTTGGGGTGTGGGAGGGGTTCCTGCCAAATCACTCTTAGTTGATAAATCTTCCCAACAACAAGATCCACACAGGTGCCATAGATGTGATGCACAAAGATGGCATTCTTCCAAGGACAACATGGGTGTCATCCTAACAATACTGTCCACATATTAAGTTCAGATAGTAAGGACATAAAGAGGAGCAACTGGCATATGGACACCATAAACTGTATCTTAAAATTTCACTAAAGTTTTAAACCCAATATATTCCAAAATTGTTGAAGGAATGCCCTGTTTGGGATACACAGTTGAACAGGCAGAATGGGAAATTTAAAATATTAACAGACTGGAACATTATTATAACTTGTTCACAGTAAGATATGCTTCTCTCTCTCTCTCTCTCTCTCTCTCTCTCTCTCTCTCTCTCTCTCTCTCTCTCACACACACACACACACACACACACACACACACACACACTTACTTTTACTTATAGCAAGCCCTCAAGCTCCCACAGCAAACAGTTTGAGAGTTGCTGAAATGTATTGTACCTGGAGCTGGTGGTGTGTGCAAGGTAACTTCTTTGCTCCAAGGGCTAGAGATAGATCCTTTATATCCTCTCACTCTGAAGGCATAGCTGCTATTTGTGTCAAGGTCAGAGATGACTTCACTTTTGCTGAAGACTTCAGTCTCTTGCCATGCTGGGTTAGATTCTTCTCTACTAAGTTTACGATAGCCAAGAATGTAAGTATCAGCTGAACCTGCTTTCTGTGGATGATCCCAACAGATCAAAGCTTTGTTATATATTTTACTCTGATCCTCATTGATTTCTGGTATATCGGCACCTGAAACATACAATACCTTTAGATTTTAAAATGCTTATACTTTTACTAAGTTATATAAAGAAACCTTACAGCTGAAGCATCAACAAAATTGAACGGGAAGGGAGGAAAGGAGAGAAACTCCTCACTTTATAGAATGTCACATACTGCTGCAGTTGATTTATTCTGGAACATTTTCCTCACCCATGCTGCTCATACCATCCTTCTTGCCCCTACCAACAAGGCATTAAATGCCAGGAATATTCCCAGCTGCTTCTGGAAATATTTTTTTTCTGCTCCTTGGAACACTTCCTTGACTCATTCCCAATGGTCCATAGGTTCTACAAGAAAAAGTAGCTTCAACATGCCCACACACACGTACAACTCACACAAAGCTGAGTTGTCAGAGCTTCCCTCTAAATTTTCCCCAATATCTAACTGTCTGTATGAAGGGTTTTAATTTATCTTTTGGAATAGCACTAAAAATTCCCTTTAAGGTATAATTGTTATAGGGGAACATAACTGCCTTCAGAAGAATGCCAGAAAGAAAAAAGAGCAATTTGTGCTTGGAAAGAGAGAATGTGTTGGTGTGAGAATGTTCTTTGAAGGGTTTAAAAAGAAGGACCACTTAAACTTACCATTTGAATGGAAACATAAATCTCCAATAATCTCCTGTTGTTTTGCTATATCAATAACATAGTCCTCAAAAGAAGTTTGGGCTGCAGGTCTGAAGCTCTTCAAAGATTCAGTAGCTTTCTGGATTCTGTATGTGGAAAAGGTTTATTAGCTACACATTCACGCTATCTAACCTTTTAGATTCCCACAAGGCAGGACAACACCAGTCCTGTTCCAATAACCATGCTAAAGCACCCATTCCTTTAAATTTTAATAAATATCTCAGAACTAAAGAACTCAGAACTCAGAACTAAAAATGAGTTGTTCACCAAAATATTATTTTTCTTTGAACATCCTGTATTACAATGGAATAGAACCCACTAGCAGATGAGTATGTATCAATCTGTGGCATATTTGTTGCATAATTCAGATTAGCTAAGATTTAAAAAGGGTAGTGACACAGTCCACCCAGGAAGATCTTTTGAACAATCCAAGTAAAAAGGATGAGCACTGCTCATGAGACCCATGAGCCTGGATAATATGCACTTGGATGCAATGCACCTCAAAGGTACTGATAAGCGAAGGAAGCTGCCAGTTCTTGCACTGGCAAATTCCTCGCACTGCCTGCCAATTCAGAGGTACCCTCAAGCCCACAAGGAAGACCACTGAGAGGCATGAGAGATTGCAGCAGAGAGAAAGAATGGAAAAACTCAGATGTGCTTACAAAACACTTACATAGTTCTTTATATCCAAGCCATGGTTAAAAACAAGGTATGATTTGAAATCACCTAAACATTTTGAGAAATAACTGACATACCTGTCATGAAGCTGTTTTGCTGTTTGAACAAAACAAGATTGATCTGTTTCTTTCAGAACTTCTTGGGCATAGCCCACCAGCCCATTATTTTCTAGAAGTCCCTGATATTCTTCTTTTTGAGAAAGCAATTTCTCTAGTCTTAGGTTTTTAGAAGCTTCAATAGCCCTGAGTGCACTTGTTCTTCTCTCTTCCAAAACATCAAACAATTTGTCAAATTTGTTAGATGCTTCTTCCTTGGCTCTTTCACTATTGCACTGTTTTTTTAAAAAATGAACACGCAAGATATATGTTAATGCTTGAGACCATAAAAATGTTTTTCGTTAGACACCAAAACAATTTCAAGAGTCTGCTGTAGTAAAAAACAAGAGTGTATTCCTAGAGATATGAAGGCCTGAAAAAAGCTGGGTTTATTTCCAAAAAAACATTTTTTCTCCAAATCTGGAAACACTGATATTTTTTTATATTACTATGTTAAATGAAATGTTTAAGGCAAGGTCCACCTGGCCTTAACCCTTGAGTTGTCACATTTCTAGAAATCATAGGGGGAATTTATTTTTTAAATTCTCTTTGAAAAATTCTCAGCACACCTATCTCTTCCATTCCTTATTAGTAGTTTTTATTATTATTGATATAGCATATCTTTTACTATAATTTAGGAATGTTTCAAGTAATGTTCAATATTTCAAGAGGTGATTAGAAGCAACATATAGTATGTGGAGAAAGATACCTATAACTGTAGTTCTTCAAGTAACCATCGGTGCATTAACACAATATGGAATCTGTGTATATGTGGAGCCTGGATCAGGAATAGGTGAGAAATTGTTGCCAGTAAGCCTCCTCCACTGCCCTGTGTGCCTAAATATAATGCATTCCTACCTATTCTTGTAGTTCCTTGAGAACTCCAAAGCAGTTTGAGAACCAAGACAGTCCTTGGTATCAGCATTAACACCAAAGTGGGGACAATAGGTGGGTTGTGTATCATACAAATGATCACTTGAAAAACTATAGTTACAGGTAACGTCTTCATGGTTTCTGTACATCGCAGATACAGGCCAGTAGCAAGCTGACTTACCAGAAATGGGGTTGGTATGCTGTTGTAGAATGGCCAATAAGACAGCACATGGAAGGGGGAAGTTAGCTTGAACATTCAGCTTGCACTGACCAATAAAAGTCAAGGACTTCAACTAGACACCTACTCAGCACAGTTTGGGAAGAGTGATCCCCTTGCTGCATGCCACCAATATCACTATCACTCATGAAGTCAACCTAAATAGCATGTGACATTGGAAAACCTGCCAATTTATAGGCCACCTTGATTATTTGCACTACCCATGAAGAGAACTTCTGCAACGACACAGGCAATCCTTGTTGCTTGTTCACTTAGCATAACAACAAATTAAGCAATCAGTGAAAATTGTCATAAAGCTATGAAGATAAACATATCTTTGCACTGCAGTCAGTCATGTTCATGGACATGTATTTCTGGTTGTAAGTGCATGATCCCACTCTGTTTAAAATAGCAAGCCCACAAGTAAAAAAAACCCCACACGATTCACTCATTGACAAATTTTGGAGCAGACAGATTGGTGTGTTGCTCCCACCTATATTTTGGCTTTGTTATACGTCATTGTAATGATATAGTGGGGCTGCATTAAGTAGGCTTTAAGGTAAGAACTTTTGTAATCTGTTTACCCTGCTTACTAAGTATCTCTGTTCGCTGAGAAGTTTGGCCTTGAGAGTTCACAGCTGGGAAGTTGGGTGGGTCCGGCTGAATAAATTGTGGAAGACATGGTGGTGGTCTCTTATCAAGGAGACCTATTGGCCTCACCTAGCCCAAAGATCCAGAAATCCCATTTTTCTTTTGTTCACTTCCCTCTGATTCCTGGCTTACTGGGGATTTATATATTAGCTTCTAGTAGTGTGAGCATATAAAAGAGCCCATGATATTATGGAAGTGTTTCCCCTCCCAGCATGAAAACAGACCAAAATTGATTTTTTTTCTTTGAGCTCTTCTCCTCCTGCTTCTGCTACCCCTACTTTTAACTGCTTTCCACCCCTCATAAATCTCAACGACAACACTAGTTAGGCATCTGAGAGGAAAGTCAAATTTATCCCATTAAAAAGAATCTGTTAATCACAGCATAGCTGACAACCCAATAGATGACTTCCCAGAATTAACTGCCAAAATGGGGGAATCTATTTTTGAAAGGATAAAACAAATAGAAATCAAACTTGACCTCCTCCTACAGAAGCCTTTGTCACCTGTTGAAACCAATACAGTCTACAATGGGCCTCTTTCCAAGGAACTGCCTTTTTTAGCTTGGAGAGCTTAAAAAAAGAAGAAAATACAGCAGCCGCAAGCAGTGGTATAACACTTCCAGTTAAAGCTACAGACCTGTAAAGTGTGTTGAACTGTTTGCAAATTTAAAGGTGAGTTGATGCTTTGGAACTCAACATGAGAGGTTACTTACCATCTAAGAGCCCTTTTATGTCATCAATGAGACTTGTCATCAATCGATTTAATTTCTGTTGAGTCTCTCAATAATCTAAATCAGGAATACAGAGTCCTGCTTACATTTGGCAGTCCCAGGATTCCTAGTTTACTATTGCACTGAAAAGAATTCCTGTACTCCAAGGGGATATTTCTGGCTAGGGTGTTTGATAATTTATCTATAAATACTCTGTCACCATATTGGCAAAAGGTGGGCAACCTTCCTTGAAGCACTCCTGATAGACATGGCCCAGTGCAATTTGGAACCTGCGCTTGACTTTACTATGAACTCAAGTTTGGCCTCAGCACTCCTTTCTTTTGAGAACTCAATTGAAGAGAATCTACTTAACTCCTTCTCTGCCCTTTCATCCACAGAACAACTTTCAATTACTAGTAAATTCGGTATGATAAGAGACAAGCCCCTGAATTCAAAGAAGGATCTCATAATTCAAGAGCCAAAGCCACTCTGTCTGACTATCATACTGGAGAGTTCCTCTGACATGACTACACTTCCAACCCCTCTTACTCTATCGGTGGAAGATCTAAGGCATCCAGGAGTTACTGCCTTTATTTCCAGACAAGAGCAATTAGAAAGGAATGTCTCAGCTATCAGCCAGACAGACAACCCTGGTGAGGAGTTGTGTGATCTAGAGGAGGATGCCTCTAATAATGGCTGTGTTGTTCTGGACACAGATGGTGACTTAAACAGGATAACTGCCAACTGATGATTAGAGTGCCTATCTGGGAAGTTGGTGCAATAAGCTTTATTACTTGGATTTTTTAACATTCTTGCATGGTTTTGATATATTTTGCTTACAAGAAACCTAACTTATGAACCCTGATTTTATGGATATCCAGGGGTTCAGGGCTTATTCTGTTCTCACAATTTAAAAATATTCAAAGGGACAAAGAGGTCTGGTTACACTGGTATTTGTGAACATAAATACAGATATCCTGATTATAAAGAACAAGTGTCATAATAACATCCAAATCTTACTTCTTAAAGGAGACCACTTTGGAAGCCTCCTATTTGTCAACATGTATATTCCACCTGGGGGTTTGCCCCTGCACAGGAAAGAAGGTGCATTTGGGGTATATTAAATGAAAAACTCACTAATTTTTCATTTCCCAAAGGCACATGTTATCTTATGCAAGGACTTTAATGCAAGAATAGGGCCAGGTTATCTAGAGGAGGGAAATGGCTTGAATGCCCAGATTGCTAAGCATCACCCATTTTTTTTAAATGTTCTTCAAAGGGCCCAAGTTTGGACTTAAATTCTTGGAACTACTCTCAGTGTCTAACCTTCACATATTGCATGACACTTCTTTTGATGTAATTGGAGGAAATATTTAGCTATATAGCAACTGGCAGGGCCAGCAGAGTAGATTATATAGCTATTTCACCTGCTCTCATGAATCTGGAGTCTAAGTTTGAGATTATTGACCTTACTTGGAGTGATCATTGCCCACAGCATTGATCACTTAAAATTAACACTAATGTTCTGATGAAACCAGCTATAGATTTCAAAGAGGATGATATTTTTTGTATTTTTGTATTTAATGGTAATTTATTATGTTCTATTGTATTTCAATGTATTTTATTGTGTTGTAAGCCGCCCCGAGGCTTCGGCAAGGGGCGGCATAGAAATGTAATAATAATAATAATAATAATAATAATAATAATAATATCCCTAATCTTCAGAGACTCAGATGGTCTGACAAAATACACACGACAATAGCCCATACTTTATCAAGCCTGGAATCCGAGCTGTTATGAGATATTTTCTCACTCAACACACCTATTATGCTATCCAAACATTCAGTGAAATCGAAGCCACTACTTACAAATAACAGGCCTATAAAACTGTTAATCCATGCCCAAAATGATTGGTTTGACTATGAATGTAAAATGCTTAAAAAGGACTACTTCACAGCACAAGACAAGTTAGGCACAATAGGGAGGATGGGATGCCTAACATTTTAACAGTTAGGTCTCAGTATAAAAACTTAAGCAAAAGGAATTGGAACATGCCAAGCTCCTTTGGAGGGAGCTAGATCAAGCAGTCACTGAAAAAACTGACTCCCACTTTTGGGAAATGGTCACAAATAACAAAAATTGTCCTTACTGACAGGTCGGCTCTCATACAGGTCACATTTGGTTTTCATACTTCAGCCGTGCTTTTGGGTATCAATACCCTCTACTGGAAGGGATTAGCAAACAGCAACAGATTGAACACCTGGTGCTTGGTGGGTTACCGGAATGGTCACCAGTTTCTGCTTCCAAAATCAGAGGACTAATTGCCTCTTTGAAATCCAGTAACTTTCCAGGAGAAGACATCCTGACTCCTGATCTATATAAAGCTTTCCCTGAATAGTGGGCCCCAGTTCTAGCTAGATTGTTCTCACTGATTAATGAAATAGATCTAATCCTGCCCAGAAGATGAGTACTGTAGTACCCATTTACAAAAAAGGAGACAGAATGGACCCACAAAATTACAGACTTATGAGTTATTGGACATATTGGCAAAACTTTATAGTAAATTTCTGCTGTCAAAATTAGGAGGCTGGGTAGCTGAGGAGCAAATCTTATGCCCTGTACAAGCAGGTTTCTGAAAAGGCCTCAGTACCATTGACCATTGCCAAACTCTACATATATCAATTACCTTATTCTGGAATAAATGGGCATACAAAGGCACTCTATGTTGTGCTTGTCAATTTGGTGGCCACATTCAATTCCATTAATAGGATGTACTTATGGTCAAA